CCATTAAAAAACGTATAAACAGCTCACAGGCTGTAAATATTTTTCACATTGATTAATTTTAATTTGTGTTTCTGACTCATTATGCAGTGAGACTATGAAAGATAACAAGTCAGTAAGATCAGGATAAGGAAAATGGAAGAATGTGCAAAACTTTCTCATAATGGATCATAGAAACAGGTCTCAGTCTCCTATGAGGTGATTAGCATTGCCACATACAATAAATATAAGAAAGTGGTCTGTGGCATGGCCATACAATTTGGCAAATCCAGGACAAACTCAGGATAGTCACACTGTCTGCATTTGAGGAGGGAAACCAGGAAACAGAAAGGGGGAAATGAGGGCAATAATGATCATTAAACATTAACCCAAAAGTCATTTGGCTTTAGATGACAGTATTGGTATCAAATGTGCAAGATGATTAACTTAGACTTTTGCTTTCACAAATTCTAGGTATGCCTTTAATTTCGAAGGTGGTGGTAGACTGTCAGCATGCTGCTCCACCCACAGTGAAAACCACAGTTCAAATGGCTCTGCAATTTGAAATAAACAGAGATCTGTCTGGATGGCTGGTTGATCCTTACAAAAGTGATCCAGACCTCAATGTGATGATAACGTGACACAGATATTTATAAAATAACTGTTGTTGTGTTTGCCTCTGTAACTCCTTCTTTCTCTGATGTAGCACTTATTAAAATGTCAGAAACTATTTACTACCTGCTGTGAACCTATACAGTGTTTAAAATATTGGCTTAAAATATTGTTTCTTTAAATTCACCAAAACAGGGTGGAGTTATAGTCAGTACAGCAAGGATGAATGATGTTAATTGTGAATTTCTCAGCCTGTGGATCTTAACCCGTGATGTGTAAAGGAAACACTGTATCACAGAGCAACTGCAAGTGGTGTTTATTCATTATGGGGTGAGGGGGTGGGCGCTGGAAAATGTGACTGAGTCATAAAATCCCAAGCTTTCCCAAAATTTGGGTGTGTTCAGAAGCAGAGTTTTGTTCCCTGTGACTGTACATGAGACAACTAATACCATCTCATTTAACTCTGGAGAGACGCCTGAAAAACATCAATATTTTGAATCCAGTTTCTCACGAGGCAAGGTGATAAAATCTTTTCATAAACCCTATCTTACAAGCACAGTCCCTCTCCCTGGGCATTGTGCCTTTTATTAATGAGGCCCAGGGAGACAATAATTGCCCCACACCTCTCTTAGCCTAGGATTTGCCAGTGTGGGATTTGCCAGGGTGGGTAATTGAGGCTGCTGCTCACTGCTAAAGTTCGCTTCCAGCTTGTGCTGCATAAAACACATCTGCTGCTCTCCCTGAGTGGACAAGTTCTGGCTGGGCATGGTCTTGGACACACCTGAGGAGTCTCACCCCAAATCCAGCTAAGACCAGCTGTCAGTGCTAAGCTGTTCATCCCTGTGGATGGAGAGGGACTGTCAGCACCCAGGGCAGGGCTGTGGGCTGCAGGTGCTGCTGCTCCTGGGCTGCACAGAGAGCTGCTTCCCTGTGTCAGGCCAGGGGCTGGGGGTAGCTGGACCCACTGGGAGGAGGTGTGAGTGCTGGATGCCACCTCCCCTCTGTGCCTGGCCAAGGAGGATGCTCAGTGCTGTTGCCTCACCAAATAAGTCATTACCCCAGAGGAGACTCAGCTAGAGGCTTGGAAAACAGCCTCCCATTTTGGCATGACTTGTGTCTATGCTAGGACTTCTCAGCATTATGGGGAAATGAAATGAACACAAACAACACAAACACTGAACCTTGGCCACTGCCTTCCAAAATAAACAGGGCGTGGGCATAGTGATCCCACTTGGCTTTTTTCTGCATCCTCCAGTCATGTCTGGGGGGGATGAATTAACCCCACTCCTGCTAAGCTGCCCTGCTGACCCTTCCAGGCAGGAGCTGGGTGCGATGCTGCTGGCATTGCTGCTGGTGTCCCTGCCAGCCCCGGGCACAAGGAAGGGAGGTGTCCCCTGGGGTTGGGTTCCTGTGCTGCCACCTCGCTGTGCCAGGTCCTGCTGGCGCTGAGTGCACCCTGCGGGGCTGAGCTCTCCGTGCTGTCTCTGAAGAGCGGGGAAGATGCACCCTAAATCCTGCTCTGATCCTGAGAGAGCTGTGTGGGGTTCTCTTCTCCCTCTCTTTTGTGCTACCTGCAGGTGCTGTGTCCCCTGCAAGCCCCATCTCTCCCTTCAGCCCTCCCCTGTGTCACTGGCATAGTTGTTTTGTGATAAGATGGTAGTAACAGGGTCCAGCAATCTTTTCAGGTACAAGTATGTAACTCTCATGGTGCCTTCTTTTTTATTATTTTTTATTATTTTTTTTTTTTTTTAATTTTTTTTTTTTTTTTTTTTGCCAAGGTAGGTTACTATTCTAAACATAATGGGTTTAGGAGCTTCATCGTCTGTTTTTCTAACCTGAGTTATTGTACTTCCACAGGTCCCAATAATGAAAAGTTGCTGATGGCAACATCTCTGTGCATTGACAAGAAAGGTGATTAGGAGCCTAGAAGATTACATACAAAGACAGGGAACCCTCAGTACTCCAAATAACAAAGTTTTACTTTAGGAAAGTGTTTATTGAAGACAGTCTGGAGGGCAAAGTCCTGGGGGAAGAGGTCCATTTTGTCAGGATTGTCATAGAAGACTGGACAAATGACTAGTGAAGGTATTAAGAGTGCAAATCTGGCATTATGTATTGATTGATTGAATCTCATTGAATTATTTTTAAAAAATTAATAAATAAATAATGGAAAGAAATAATAAATGCAACAGCTGTTAAATGGACCATGCTGTTCTTCTCTGAGCTGGCTTCCAAGAGAATGGACAAGAAGACCCAAGAGGGAGTTTCTGTTTCTGTGCTTTTCATGGCTGTATCAGTGTCTGAGCTGAACTGAAGAAATCCATGGAAGAAAAACTGGAGTCCTTGTTTTTTTGCCAGACACCTCTCTGGCTGTCTGCTTCTCTGTTCCCAGAACTTCCCTGAACTTAAGGGTTACAGGCCCAGGCTGTGTGAGGAGAGATGTGCCAGGAGCCTGGTGTTGAGGAGCTGCTGAGGGGATGAAGACCTGCCCAGCTGGCACACGGGGCAGACACAGATGTCTGGCAGTGGCCAGGGAGCCCTTGTTTTCCACACCACCAGTGAGTCACACTGCTGGGAGCAAAGAAACAGCATGGACAGAGGTCCTGCTTCAGCAAACTGTGTGGCTGAGGTTTTAGAATAGTGAATAGACCGTATGTGAGAAGTACTGGAAAATGCTTGTGCATGATGGCTTGTTCCAATTAATATTGGAGCCTTTTAGTATTGGGCAAGCATGAGCAGTCTGTAGCACCAAACCTAAGATCAGAGTGGATTTAGCTGTCCTGTGTTAGGGCTAATGCTTCTATGCATACACTGATTAACACCAGTTTTCATGCTGGCTGACTCATGGCTCCTAAGAAATCATGCTGTAGGAATTTTTTCAGTATTCCTTTACCCATGCCTAGGATGTCCAACCAGTAGTATGGGAGCACATCTGGACTCTCAGTATGATGCTTCTTAGGGCACTTTTCTTGCAGTTGGCCAATTCTTATGGGCTAGAGAAACTAACTCTGTAATGATTTAGGCCTTGGTGTTTGGCAGGGTTATTTTACAATGGGGGGGTGAGGGGCTGCAACAGCTTGTCCTGAGAAGTGGTGGATGCCCCACCCCTGGGAACATTCAGGGGCTCTGAACAACCTGTCCAGTGGAAGGTCTCCCTGTCTTTTGCAGGGGGCTTGGATGAGATGACAAGGTGTTTTCCAAATCAAGCTCTTCTGTGATTCTATATCCACTTTCTCATTCATGTTTATGTTTAACTCCGAGCTTTATCAGCGGTGAGTATGAATCCCACGGTGCTTCCATAACCCAGTATTTCTAACACCAACACACACACACACAAATTAGCAGTTGAGCTTCTAAAACTGATCTGAACATACATGCTTTTACAAAGTCAGGTTTCACTTGCCTTTGGTTTTGATTCTTAAAAGATACCTGCTTTGAAGCACTTCTGAGCTCCGGGAATTTAATTTTGTTTTAATGAGAGTCCAGATTGTCTTAATTGCATGATACTTGGCACTGCTAAGAAAAACAGTAGCAATCATAAGACCTTTGATATTTGCCAGAGGTGCACCAGAACCTGTGGGTTATTTTTTATATGTCTTATTCTCCAGCCCATTTTTCAGGTGTGGCTGACTATTACTTCTTTCCAGTTAGTGGACATGAACTTTAGTCATGAGTGACTTTGTTTTCTACATCTGATATGACACACGGTACCTGGAAGTTCTGTTTATTTTTTAAAGATAAAATGAAAAACTGCTTTGTCATAGCTGACTGCCTCAGTATTTTTCAGCATGGTGCTAAGCCACATCAGTTCATTTAATGTGTGTGAGCACGTGTGTTTCACATGTGGGTTCACATCACTGCTAGCAGATTTCTCCTTCCCTACCCACGCTAATTACTCTGTCCATTAGTTCAAAGTCTGAGAGAAGGGGGAAGGCAGAGATGATAATTAATCATGAACTGGACAGCTTGTGCTGTTTGAATTATTATAGTATGTGTCAAGAAACAGGCTAATTTTTGGTCATACTCCATTGGATCTGGATTCAGTGCCCACTGTCAATGGACTTGGCTTTGTTGACTCCAGCAACACAGGATACAGCTTGTGGAGGCTAATCCACCTCCAGCTCAGACAAAATGGCCCCATCTTTATTGCCATGAGATTTTTTTATGCAGGGCTGAGTATTTCCAGGCTCTCTCTCCCAATATTCCAGTGTAATTCCCCTTTGCTGGTAACTCACCAGTACTTTGTTAAAGGAACCAGGGTGAATGATATCGAGTGGCCCATCTGGGCATCACTGGGAGGGAAAGACAGCAGCAGGGCTGAGGAAATTGGAAGAGACTGTGGATAGTTAAATCAATGTGCTGCAAAAGGGAGAATCACCTGTGAAGAAGAATTCACTGGGCTCTGAGATGCCTCCTTTGGGTTATAAAAGGTCTGGAAATGCATTAACATGTTTTTATTTTGTCATCTAGAGGGGTGGAATAGAGACAGAAAGATTTGATGGGACCTACCCGCTATGGTTGTGGTCAAGAGCTTGTATGCTAATTCTCTTACTGGCAAGGAGACCAGGTGGTGACAAAAACCTAACCCAAAAGGTATGATTATTCTTTGTTTCTGTATGTGTTCTCCAGGCTGTAAGTACTTTTTCTTGTGCTGATGCTGTGCAAAATTTTAGTGAGGCTTTATTTATTTTGTCCTGTTTATTTTGTGAATCATTTGACTCAGCTGCAGCTTCTTTAATGCCCTTGTTTTTTCTAACTCATCCATGAAGAGGTAAATAATTTATGGCAGTGTGACTTTTAAAGGAATATTTATTAATTAATTCAAGCTGCCTCTATTGTTTGGCTGTACCCATTGAACTGGTAGTAGCTATGGACAGACACAATGGCCTTCCCTGTGCAATTATAGTTTTATTTCCTTCTGAGAAAAACAGCCCAGTTTAATAAGCGTTTGAGCCTGGGCCTTGGTTTTGCTACAAAAGAGGGGTACTCTTAATATGCCTTAGTTAGCACTTGGTGGGAGCCTAAGGAAGACAAAGCATTTTTGTAGCTGTGACTCTGGATAGTGAGCTGAGCTAGTCATCCTGTTAATTATGGACAGTAGCACAAATGGACTGATCCTCAAAACCATATTGATTTTGCAGATTAGGTCCACAGATCTGTAAATAAATCTTTCAGGTCTAGACACCAAATACAGGTGCGAAATAACTTTTTGTTTGCTGCTTAGCTGCAGTTACAAAGAAGTTCTGTCCCTCTAAGTGTGAGCAGAATGGAGTTGATTTGGCTTTCCATTGCTCCATCTCTTATCAAATGCATGTAGCCCTGGCATGTGGGACTTGCCACACCTAGCTTAAGAGAACATTTTTCAGCATCTGCACTTATGAAGGTAGCTATTCCTTCCCTTTTCCCAAGAGCTCTTCCTCCCTTCTTCAGCGTAATCTCTCCTGCTGCTGTTTGCTTGCCCAAGGCTTTCATTATCCTAGGAATATGATCTCAGCCTGAAATCCAAACCAAGATGTAAACAAGAGAGCAAGTGGCAGAACTGTTAATTTGGGGTTGTTTTTTTTTTTGTTTGTTTGTTTTCTGGAGAAGAAACCTTTGTGTTTAGCATCTCGTTTCAATTGCTGAGCTGTTCCCACGTCTTTGAAGGGTTACCCTGCACTTGTTTGTGGCACGCTGTTCCTAATCACCTCCGATTATTGCTGACACATATTTGGCTCGTTTTATCCGTCTGTGATCTGGAGATGGGAGCAGGAGGAGGAACCGCGGTGCCTTCTTAGCCTGCGATGGCAGCGCAGAGCCCGCACACGGCCCGGCAGGGTGAGGCAGCGCTGGGCAAGGAGGGAAGATGCTGTTTGCTAATCCCTGGCTCCTGCTAAAGCCACTGCGGGCAGAAACAGCGCTGCGGCAGAAGAGGCTGTGTGTCTGTCCCTGTTAAGCCGCGGGGACAGGGCGCCTCATGCCAGCACGGGAAGGGAGCTTGTTCCCCCTTCGCCAGGCTCCTGACAGCGGTGCCAGCATGAGCACGTCTGGGAGACCCCCGAGTCCCTGTTGTTGCTATCCCCCTCCCTCCTCAGCTGTCCTTGGAGGCCAGGCTGGAAGCTGGGTGTGCCACCCCTGGCCGATACTCGAGTGGCCGCGGTGTGCGGGAGCGAGCCCGGGGCACTGAAATGCTCCGTGTTGCAACAGCTCCTGTGTTCTGTGCAGCTTCCAGCTCCTGCCTCCTCCCCTCCCCGCTGACTAACACTGCGGGAATGCGCCGAGACGAAGTCTCTTGGGGTTCTGTTTAAATTTTCACTTTTATTTTGACTTCTTGATTAAAAGAAGCCAAAGAGACGCGCAGTTCTCTGGGCTTCTAAATAAGACAATGCTGGTGCGTCTTCAAAAATTAGCTGTGGATTTTTAGGTCTTCTTAATTACTTCCTAATACTCCAGAGAGAGCTCCCTTCTTAGAGAGCAGGTGCTCAGCTCCAACTTATGTCCTGCTAAGAGAAGCAGCAAAATCATTACCTGCTTCCAAAAGCTTAGCCTAAGAATTTAAAATATGCTGTCCAAGAGAATATGAAGGTTTGAAAGACAACGATATTGTGGCTCCTAGTGTGGTCTTCTAGGCAGTGCAGAAATGAAAACAGCCCAAGTTGAAGGTCTCCTGAAAAAGCAAGTGCGATTCCTATGCTGTGCTCATGTTTCTGGTGAGACCTTCTGTAATTATTTCAATATTAGCCTGACCAGTTACTAAGCTTTCAGAGTGGGAATGTGAATTGCTACTGAGGGTTTTCTTTCTGCCTTACAACTGGTTGATCAGTGATTTAAAATCAAGTGAAGGCTGGAATTTCAAAATCTGAAGGACATTTTGCACTTGGCAGTGTTTTCAGCCATTGCTTCTAACTTTTGCATACTTGTCTCCCATAACCTGGAATAATGTTTTCTTGCCTCAGTCAATACCATCATTGAAGTAATGATGCTAAGTTAGTCATGATCCAGTAACTTACAGTGTGGGATGGTTCATCAGCACAGAACTTTGTATGTTTTAGATTGCAAGGTTGGAGCCCACTCACCCACTTCGTTTTTAATTTTTAAAAATAAATAACACAAGTTGGGATGCTTTCTAAAACTAACAAAAATAGAGAAAGAAAATATGATTATTTTCAGGGTTCCAGATCAAGGGGGCAAAGGTCAAAAGCCTGCAATAGATTGAAGTTATTAATTAACATCTACTTACTGGATTTTTCCTAATTTATGACTTCATGTATTATAACTCCTTCAGTAAAACATCATAAACATGCCCAGTGAGTAATCATACAGTATGAATGGACCAAAAAAAATATCTTAGAACATAGCAGCTACAAATTAGTAGAGCCTCTCCTTGACTGGGGCAGATCAGAATTCACTCAACAAAACAGTTCATTGAAAGAATGGCTTCTCAGTAGTTTTAATAAGGTAGAGGAATCCCCCTGGGTGCTGGAGAGGAGTTGGCTCTGCCAGGTGTGCTCCCCATGCCTGGAGCAGGACACAGCTGTAGTGCTGGGGGCTGAAGGAAAGCCCCACAACTGGGCCAGAAATCAGCTGCTTCCTTATGAGGGACACTTTTTGGGTGTCTGTACTGTGTTTTTGTCTGTGCCTGTACTCCAGGTGTGGGTGAGGGCTCTGGTGCCATCGCTGTGCTGAACTGACTGGGGCAGACTTGGGATGACCAAGGAACTGCTGGGAAAGGTGGGAGCCCTCATTGGAGACCTCCAAGAGGCTTGTGATGATGGACATTTGTCTGTGCTTTTATTAAACAAGGCTGTGCAGTTTGAACAGAATATTAAACCTCAAAATGACCTGGAGAGCATCTGCTTCCCCTCTAGTCTGTGGAATTTAATATAACAACCAGGGCATTATGAAGGCTTGCATCCCTTCTAGCAGGAGGGGAAATGAAGAGGGAGGCAGGCAAGTCTAAAAGCATGGAGTCAAGAAGGTAAAGACCAAAGAGCTCGATGAGGCTCTCCCTGGAAGCTGGAGAGCTTTGTGCAGGGAGGAACACACAGTCCATCTTATTCTGATTAAGCCATATTTCAATAATAAATGCAATTTCAGTATGAGAGGCTGAAACATGACTGGAAATCAATGTTAATTAGACAGTGGCCATTTTACTTGTAGGAGGTTTGATCTCGTACAGAATCCCCAGGGGATCAGGATCCTGCAGGAGGTGGATCTCCATGTCTGCCTGACTGCTGCTCTGCCTCCTATCATCGTGGCTATTTGCAGTCACTAATAACCTCGTAACTTGCCTGTAAGGCATTGTCTTTGCCTTATGGATTAGAAGCTGAAGTGCTGTACAGACAAATGATTTGCTGGAGGTCATGCAGGAAATCTCTGTGAGCACCAAAACTTGTAAACCTGTATTTCTGAATCATGACTTTAACATCTCTGTACCAGCTTTGGCTTGGTTAAGGCTGTGTTCCTGCACAGAATGAAAGACCGGAAAAAAACTCAAAAAGCACAAAACACGTCAAACCCCATGCTTGCATTCTTTAGTGGGAAACAGTGCCTGTAACTCAAGCTTTTCTCTTATCCTCTGACCCTTCGTATTTCCCCAGCTGTCAGTTACTCTAAAGAGCTTTTCCTAGTGTGGTTACTTGGTCAGTGAGTGGACCTTCAGGGTCACAAAGCCTTTGTGCCTGCTGCCTCTTGGATTTTTCTTTGGTTTTTCTTTTCCTTTTGGTGGTGTTGGAGGGCAGGCAAGGGAGGGACCTCAGAGGCAGGCAGCCAAGGGTGTGAGCAGTGCCAGGTTAAGTAATGGCTGTGCTGACATGGATTCTCGTAACTGCTGCCTATTCCTGCCCTGCCAGGAACAGCCCATTGGGCAGCAAGTTTTGGAGGTCTAATCAGTCCAGACCAATAATCTGTTGACCTGCACAGGGCTGCAGGAGAAACTCTGCACATATGTGTGTGTTTTCTAAGGGAAATTATTAATTAAATGTAATAATATTTAATTATCTTGTTAATAGGTGTCTGGGAGCTACAGGAGTCTGATGAAGCACATGTGAGAGGCTAGGGAGGTTGGTGTGATCATCGTGCAGGGTAGAGGGCACAGGCTGAGCTCAGGGGGATGCAGGGCAGCTGCTCCCAGGAGTGCCTGACCCCAGGGGCAGGATGCTGCTGATCCCTGGTAAGCAGTGCCTTGCTCTGCTCATATCTGCTCAGGAGAGGGTATGATTCCCTCCCACTTTTTTGTCTACCTCCTCTTTTGTTTATTCCAGGTCTGTTGGAGATGGTCCACAGGCATTTTGAAATGCCCAAGCAAATCCTCTGTGTTGGTTCAAGCTTTAAATCCCTCTGAACAGGCTGGACACCACTTTCTGATGTCTATAGGATTGGAAACTATCTTATTTTCAGTAATTGCTTAAAATGGGATGCTAACCTAAATTTTCTTCATTAAGCACAGTCTAGCTCTTTAACTGACTGATGAAGCAAACCCTGATATCTCATTTCTAGATGTTTTCCTGCCCACTTTGAGTTCATTAATTTTTCCATTCACAATGTCAGAGAAGCAGCTCAAAGCCTAGTGCTCTGAAGGTGACTGTTCAAAGGAACAGCTTGATGGACATACT